TTAGATCTCTGCTAAACAATTTTGTAATTAATACACTTGTAAAATAGATTTTATTCATTTTTTTTTAAGTCTTTAATACTTCTGCTGCTGTGTATGTATTTATTTATGGATCTTACATTGCTTGCTGTTGATACACACACACACATATATATAAGTGCACAGGTATGCAGAAAATAGAAAAGAACACGTTGGGTGCATAATCCAGGGTTCCTTAGTATTTTTGGTTTATTTTTAAGAAGACAGTGCTCCATACAGAAGTAGAGCTTTATTATAATAATAATATTTTTTGATTAAAAATATGATTCTTCTTCACATAAGAGTTCTCATGTTTCAAAAAAGAGGCATCAAACCATCCAAATAATTATTAAGTTGAAAATTTAATAATTATATGTATTATACATATATATATATATATATATATATATATATATATATATATATATATATATATATATATATAAGGTGGAGTAATGGATAGAGGCTTGGACTGAGGAATTGCAGAACTGAGTTTGAATTCCAGTCGAATCCATTACATTCACTTACGTGCTAATACCCTTGGGAAAGGTGTGAATCTTCTTCTTCTCCCTCTAGCTATGGGTAAAATAGCAAGACAGACTGGGTTCTATAGCCTTCCACTCTTTACTTCTAACATCTCTGTCTGAACTCTGATATTTTATTTGATAATCTTAACTTCTTTAAGTCTAGAATTAGCTGCCTCTTTCCCGTTCTCCTATCCTTTCTTATGCTGATACAACTCCAAACAGTAACCTCTCTACTTTGTGTGGCCCTTGGGCCTTGTATCAGGGGAACATTAGAAAGTTGTGACACACACTTTTATATTTAAAAGCAATGAAAGTTTCTTCAGACAAAACTTCAAGCAATTTTCATTTAAAAGAAAAAAGAAAGTAATCTTGTTTTTTTATCATTTAAATAGGTTGTAAAAGGTTATTTCAGAATGCATGTTTTTACCTATACATGTATAAACTTGTGACATCCATATTCACACACACAGAAATAGTGAATAAGCACACCATGACTCATTAAAAGTCACTGTTACTTGTTAGTTATTCTAAGAAATACGAGCTTACGATAAAGTCAACCTATTCCAGCAAATACCAATAAATCCTGATGACCGATTATTTTAACTGTGAACTCTTAGTGAAGACAAGTATACAGCATAAAACTTGGTATATTCAAGCCAGAGTATAAAATGATACGACTAAATGCTGTAATGTCTGATATTGAGAAAAGAAGTAATTCTCAGATGTAGGATTATCATTTCAAGAGTTGTTTGGAAAATCAATCCTTACCCTTTTTGTTAACATCATAATGCTTTGGCCTATCTATTCTATAGCCTTCTGTAAATCTCAGACAAATCATTATCATTTTAAGAATTGTTCAAATTTGATCTCATTCTTTTTGTTCCTTTTATTCTAACCACATATCAGCTAATCTCATCTATGGCCTTTTTCAGTCTGAAAATTGAATATTTAATCCAAAAATGAATTCTGAGGTTATCATGTTTGGTATCACTAGAAAGAGTATTTTACATAGAATAACAAAGCAAAACATTGGCTCGCAATAAAATTATCTACGCAAATGATGACTGTTTTCAATTCTATAATAAAATTTAGTCTAGGGTCAAATATTATCTATCCTACATATCCTCATAATATGCACTTCTTTCACTTACATACATCCAACAAATTCAGTAACCTTCCATCTTGAGTTGCTCTTGGGTCTTGTATCAATATTTAATAAAATAAAATGCTTTGGCTTATCCATTCTATGAACTTCTGTTGTTGCAGGACATCACCTCTTTTGTTGCAAGGTAAGGAAGTTTGTCAGTAAATATTTAATGGCTCCTGCTACATTTGTCCTGCAAACAATACAAACAATATTTGGCGGCTCATGCAAGTCCTGGTAAAAATAAGAAACACAACATGGATTTTAAACAAACAATGTATGTATTAACAAAAAGAAATTATACTAATGTGTACACAGTTGAAAGGAAAGGACATTAAAAACTTAGCTATTAATGTGTTTGTTTGTGCATGTGTATGAGAGTTCAGTTGCCAGTGAACCAAGGAAGATGAACATGTCCCAGCAGGGATGACTTTATCTACATTCTGCTATATCTTGAAGAAAGAGTAAGCAAATATTTGTCTTTTTATAGACTGAGACAGTGCGACCTAATGAGCGTTTTGGCAAAGAAGAGTAACACACTAATTCTCAAATGATTCATTATCATTCTAAGAGTTGTTCAAACTTCATCTCTAGTTTTTTTTTTGTTACATTTGTTGCTACCACATCTCAATTCATCTATAAACTTCTTTAGGTATATAAGAAGAAAGTGTCTCTTTTTGTAGGCAGAGTGCTATGGGACTTCAGTGGGGAACCCAGTTAGAGGTTTAAGGCAAAGAGAGAAGTGTGTTAATATATACTCTACGTTAGAAAAGAATTCAAATAACCAAAATAAATTTTAAGACAAATGCTTCTCTTGGACAAGAGGGTCAAGCAGTATGTTTATATAACTGCTGATCATCTATGGGCCATGTCTCTTCAGGACATGGGCAATCATGGCTCTCTGCAACTTCCTTTCCTGTGTAGATCTTAGTAAAGTTTTTTTTTTTTTTCCTAATCCCTGTTCTACCAACTATTTACACAAAGCTTGTTAGGTAGGTTATGAACTGCTTTCCTTTGTCCCTCTTGACTTCAGCATGTCCTGTGAGTGTCAAATTTTCAAAGCCCTCTTTCCTTATTATATGACCTAGAAATTTCAACTGTCTCTTTCTGAAATTAAGTAAGTGTCCATGTTCTCTAAAATTTTGTCATTGCTCACATGTTCAGTCCATGATATTCTCAGCATTCTTCTGTAGAAACACATTTCTTTGATTCAAGTTTCTTTTTCATCTGTGAGGAGATTATCCAGCATTCAATGCTATATAGGAGGACTGATATTACCCTTTTCTGGTTTCTAATGAAATTTCCCCGTTTCTTAATACTTTGCTTTGCTTTTGGAAGGCATCTTTCGCTAATATAATGCACCTTTTGGATTTTGGAGTTGCATTTTCAGTCTTCTGTTAAAAAACTCCCCCAAGATTGAAATTTTTGTACTTGCCTGATGTTGATGACTCCAGTTTTATAATTTACATGTTTAGTTATTCATTTTTCTAATCATAGTAAATATTAAGTAAATGCTGAAGTTTTTATGTATATTTAATATTTGAACAAATATATGTACACACCAATACACACATATGCATCAGAGTGTGCAGAAAAGTTTTCTGCTTGACTCACTTTCCAAAATGACCAAAAATTTTTTTAAAGAGAATGGCTTCTTTCTCTTTCAGCACTTTCTTGTGCATGTGTGACTTTTTTTTTAATACTGTTATAATCCCTTTGATCAGTGCTAAATATAACCCCTGTCTGGGACTTGAATATCATACTGGGGGGGGGGGGTCACTTTGTTGAAGCAATAAATTTTGCTTCACCAGAATGTGTGATTTAGTGGATTCAGCTATGTTTATTCATGAGGAATTCAAGAGCTGTGGAATTTTTTCTTGGTCTGGGTGAGAATCCAATTGATCGTTTGCTCAACATTGATCGATCCAGCTGAAAAGAGTAAACATGTCAATTGGAATAAAATAAAAATGTTACAATGTTATGAGCAATTAAATTAGAGGTGAGACATAAATAGCACAACATCTATAAGACTGTTTCATCTCAACCATCCTTTCTCTGCCCTTATGGTACTGAGAGACATCTTAACAGTGAATTACATTTACTGTGGACTAATATTTTTTCTAATGCATAATGTTGGAACAGTAATGGTGGCATCTCCAACTGACACCCAACTTGCTGACTATAAAACTCCTACTGCCATGCACCTACTAATTCACGTGCATAAGTATTCCATTTATATAGAATTCTGTTCAAGATTAATTAGCATCTCAAACAAAGAATCTTCTATAAGTAAATCAGATGGCTGGCTTCAAAGTGTTTTTTCAGTTATAGCCTGGATTCTTAAGTTTTCAAAATTACATTGAAATTAACGTAGATACAATGAATAGGTCTTTAAATAAACAAATGTTACAATGACTGAAAATCCTGTAAACTTTTGATATTAGTATGTCATTCCAACCTCCTTGGGGTTATAGAGTTGGGTTGGAGGTGTCAGTTATACTGAATCTTATTAAATCTTAGTTTAATTTGAGTTCATACACTTCTAAGGCCCTGCTTATAGTTATTTTATGGGATCAAATTTTTTTTTGCTCTTGGACACCAATCCAAATAACCACCCATCCATATTTTTCTCCTAATATCTCTACTCCTTCACTCAGAATTATCAAGTCTCCAGTTGCCTTGATCTATCCACTATCCTTCTCCTCATCCTTTCCTCTATCACTTCTACCTGATCTTGCTCTAAATCTTCTGTAACCCCTTGCGTCCTAGTGGCTTCCCGCCTTGCTTGGGGTGAAACGCTTAAAAAAAAAAAAAAAAAAAAACAAAAAAAAACAAAAAAAAAACAAAAAAAAAAACGTCAAGTCACTAACCACTTTCCATGCACCAGTATAACTCAACCAGGACCACTGCTCTCTTATACTGTCAAAGGAGTCTACTAAAAAGAGATTATGAATCGCCAAGATCTATATAATTGACTCCTCTAACAACAGAGTGGGGAAAAAAAAAAACTTAAAAGTGCACAACTCGTTATTGTTATATTCTAAGCATGAAATAAAGCTGAAATTTAAGAATTTGATAAGTATGGACAGGGTCAGCAAAAATTACGTGATGCTTAATAAGAAAAAAGACAAAGCAAAATGTATGCATATATTGTTCTCATTTATAGTGGGGGGAGGAAGGTTTTTTTTTTGTTTTCTTCTTTTTAACAAATCTTTCTTGTTTCTTAATCCTTTGCTTTTGGAAGGCATCATTCATTATCTCAATGCCCCTTTGAAATTAAATTTTAATTTAATAGTCAGCTATATTACACCATATATCACCAGTTCTCATATGATCACTGAAGTTAAGCAACATCAAGCCTGCTCAATACCTAAATGGGTGACTGCTTGAGAATACCAGGTGTTGTATACTTGGATGTATAGGAAGTGTAATGGATAATGGATTGGAATTGTTAATTGGAGATCTGAGTTCCAATTCCAGTTGTGTTTGTTATATTCACTTGGGAAAGGTATGAATCCACCACTTCTCTCCCCAGCTATGAGTTAATTAGTAAGACTTGTATCACTAAATCATTATTATTCCTAATAAAAAATTATATATATATATATATATATATATATATATATATATATATATATATAATCTAGCTATGGTTTAATTAGTAAATCATTATTATCTCCCTAAAAATTATTACAATCTAAAAACATTTCTTTCAGGCTTTCTGCAAAATATTGACATGCCATAAAAAAAACCAAATCAAGCAAAATAGTCAGAATGTATAAAAAACAACAAAAAAAAAAACAGGGCAAGAAAAAAAAAAAGCAATACCAAAGTTTAAAATGTATTTTTAAAAAATGACAAATTAAAACTAAGATTTTAGTTTTAATTCCAAGCTAATAGATTAAATTTAATATTTCCAACAAGCAAAATACTTTGCTAAAATTTTTTATTGATAGAGGTGTCAGCACAACATAATTGTTTTTGTTAATACATTTTAAAAGTAAAATACTTTTCTGAAACAATAGCCGATTTAAAGTTTAATCAATCTTTATTTTTTTTTTTTAACTACCCAGTAATCTTAAAAATTTTAAACATTTTAAGTATTCTAATATTTTATTGAATTTTAGGTATTTTGGCTTCATAGGCTTACTTCAGAATACACTTGTTTAGGAAATTTCCAATAAATTTAAAATTCATTTTGGGTACTTTTCTTATTTTCTGATGTGTATGAACATTGATATTTTCAAAAACCAATGTTTATATATGTATAGAAAATTCAAAATTCTTTTTCAAATACTGAGGGTTATTGAAATGTAGTGAGCCTTTCCATTTATGGTTAGTAAATAGTTTTAATTTAATAACAATATTACTTGACCATTACAAACTAATACAGAATTTTAAAAGATTGAAAAGTTCATAAAAAAAAAAAAAAATGAAAAAATTTAAGATAATAGTGTTCATAATGTAATGGTCAGTGGAGGGGGTGGCAACAGATATTAAAAAAATATTTTTACAAAGATTTTCTAAAAAAGAAATATTTAAAAAATAATTTCTGAATAAATTGTGAAAGTTTTATTAAAATCTGACAATTATCTGGTTTTTGCAATAACTTCCAAATCAGTGCATTTTTTTTTTACTGCAAGACACTCAAATTTCTTGTACAAATTTAATGTCCTGTGTTGATTTTTAACCAAAATTTCCAAGGATCTAAAAAAAAACGTTTTACATAAAAAAATCCTTTGATCTTTCCTCTTAATAATGATACAAACTTTTTAATAACATTTGCTTTTATTATGTTTTGGGCAAATTTTCTTTTTTTCTTTTTATCATATATCCTTTTTGAACAAATTTTGGAGGTATCTATATAAGTACAATACAACTGCATTAGCAAATTAATAATGAATATACTAATATTAAAATGTGGTCATTAAATGTCTATGATCTCCAGATTAAAAAAAAAAAAAACATTATGTAAAACATTAACCTCAGAGGCATGCCTCAAAGATACAAGAGTACACTTAGCCTTCCACCCCCCTCTCACAGAAGTAATTGTAATAGCCTATTTTTATTGAGTGTTGGTCTTTGCATGAGAATGTGAAATTTAGGTTGTAAGGAAAAATGTTATGAATTTTTATCCTCCAACCTAAATTTCACCTTTCACTTTAATAAGTGACTTTGGTAGGCAGAAAAGTGGGTAGGAAAAAATTGTCAGAACAAATGAATAGGAAATATTTTTCATAAAATTAATAAAAGTCATATTTAATTTATAATAATTAAGAAATATTTTAATGAATTAAATATTGACAATGTCTTATTTAATCTATGGTAATTGAAATAATATTTTAATTAACTAGTATATTATGACTTTCCTTTCATGACTCCCCCCCAGTCACTGAATGTTATGATTTTCTAAGTGTAGCTTAGATGTGGCACAAGGTCGAAAGTATGGAGCACCCAGTGAGGATTGAACTCACTAATCAGTCATAATTGTTCTAGCAAGACATGATTGCTAACCATTACACCACGCCAAGATACCCCAATCACTGAATATTATTTATAGAGTTAGAAAGAAGAAAAAACAATCACCAAATATTAACGCTAAAAAGTGGAATTCGATGATTTAATCAGAAAACTTTACAACTTTATTACTTAAGATTTATTTTGGCTTTTAATGTGTGTATTCCATTTTGAAAATCAGGAAAAAAAAAAAAAAAAAAAAACTGTCCAGGATTAGGAATTAGGGTAATTGTTATTGACAGAACTGTAAAATGTATTTTATTAAAAGAGAAAAGATAGGAAATATCTTAAGCCTCTTGGCAAGCTCTTTTTGGTGATGGATAATTTGTTTGACGTTAGGTGGAAACTTAAAGGAACTTGCTGAAATTATTTATGTTCCAAGTATTATCTGAATAAAATGTCAGAAATAAACATATAAGCAAATTTACAGTACCCCTTCTAATTTCACCACTACAAGAAAATCCAACTGCCAAAAAATGATTAAAAATACTGGAAGCCCTTTACATCAAAGGTTGGCAATTCACCATCAATAAAATTTATTTAAATAGGTACAAATTTCTGTCTATATTTCTGAGATGAGGTATTATGTCCAGCCTTCTTCAGGTGGTTGGAATGTTAAACTGAACCCTTTATTTCGCTCACTGGGGTAGACTGTTCTAGTTTCACATGCCATGTTTTTTTTAATGGATGTCAGTTATCAGTTATCTCCTGTTAATTTCCCTCTGAAAGTTCTCCACTGCCTTAACTGGGTATTGAACTCACACTCTTTGGGTCATGTCAATGGATCTAACCAACGCCTTTATCCACTGTGCCATGTGTTCTCAAGTGAGCGAAATAAAGGGTTCAGTTTGACATTCCAACCACCTGAAGAAGGCTGGACATAATACCTCATCTCAACGGCCGAAATGTTGTAATAAATATGGCGACAAAGATGAGGACAATAGTCCGAATAATGTACATAACACCTCATCTCAGAAATATAGACAGAAATTTGTACCTATTTAAATAAATTTTATTGATGGTGAATTGCCAACCTTTGATGTAAAGGGCTTCCAGTATTTTTAATAATTTTTTGGCAGTTGGATATTCTTGTAGTGGTGAAATTAGAAGGACACATGGCACAGTGGATAAAGGCGTTGGTTAGATCCAGTGACAGACCCAAAGAAGGTGAGTTCAATACCTGGTTAAGGCAGTGGAGAACTTTCAGAGGGAAAATTAGCAGGAGATAACTGATAACTGACATCCATCAAACATGGCATGTGGAACTAGAACAGTCTACCCCAGTGATCAAATAAAGGGTTCAGTTCAAATTCCAACCACCTGAAGAAGGCCGAGCGCATAAATGGCCAAAACGTTGTGACAAATATGGCAACAAAGATGAGGACAATAGTCTGACTAATGTAAATACTGTACATAATACCTCATCTCAGAAATATAGACAGAATCCAAATACCAATGATTTTACCAACACTATGCAAAGTGCTCTTAGATAATACCAAAATATCATACAACATCATCTGCTTTTGTGGTGTCCATCACAGGAACTGACTCCAGGAACTCCTTGGTGATAGTCAAAGTCTCATCTACACCACAAATGAATATGGCCAGTTGTCTGCCACAGTGTTTCTTGTCAGGCTAAGAAAAGGAAAAACCCAACATTCTAAAAGCTACTGTGAAACAACTCACATTAAATATCAATCATTGCAGGAAATGATATTTTGAAGTGTGTATAAAAAAGTATTTTATTTGCATACAAAATATAAATATCTGATACATTCTTTTTTTTGGTGCACTCAAACTCTGTGTAATTGTTTTACATGATGTCATTTTGGATATAAAGAAAAAAAAAAGAAACTAACATAAATCTTGAACAGATTATCAAAAATTTTGATCTTAATGTAAAAAATCGTATTTTAAAATTGGAAAAATCCAATAAAAATTAGACAAACCAAAACCTTGTAAGTTAAATTTAACAAAATTTTTTAGGGTTCAGTTGAGTCATTTCAACAAGGGTCTGACCATCACCAACACAGATTTTTCTTTTTTTTATTTTTTTTTTTTTTATTTACAAATTTGGTACACTTATAGAGTTTCATGATACAAATTAAATAGTACCTATTTGACATCTCTAGGTTAAAGGGTTCCCCAAGATATGACCCTTTTAACCTTTGCTAATAAGGTGAACCTTGGAAAATAGTCACAAAGTTTAAATATCAATATTTCAGTTGTTTTATTCACCTGCAAAGCTAAATGATAATTTTAAAGTACTTGTATAGGTCTAATAGGTGATCTATTTATTTGTTTAAAGGTCAAATAAGATAATTTGACCTTGACCTTAATCCTTGACTGTTAATTTCTCAAAAAGCCTATCTTTAATTTTTTTTTAAATTTGACAACAAATTTGTCTGCCTTATGGCAAGATATGTACAAAATTTTTATTATACAACAAATAAATTTTTATATGAAAAAGTGATATAATGAAAATAATTATTTAAAAAAGTGTTATGAATTAATGTTAAGATAACATAAAATAATCGGAAAATGTGTAACAAATGATGTTAATGATTGACAAATGTTTTTTGACATGGTACACTAAATGCACAAAACAATCAAATTTTCATTTTTTTTTTATATTTAAAAAAATTAAGTTTTGATCTGAAATATACATTGAAATGAATATTTAAAAAAAGATTCTTAACATCTACAAAGGAATTAAGAAGAAACTTATTTTTTGCTTGTATTGTTCAAAGAGCTTTCTAAAGATATACAACTTGACCATATTGGGAGATATGAAAATGTTAGCATATAGTGGCAAATACCCAAATCTGCTATTTTAAATTAGCCCAACTCAGTAAAACCCTTGTAACTCAGGCCACAGTCAAAATTCCACC